GTCGGGGCTCTTTGTGGGAATCCTTGGTGGCTTTTGCCATTGCTGGCAGCCACAATGTTCAGAGTAGGAGCTTTGGGCTGTATCCCCCAGTAAACGGTTTCAGGGTCACAGGATGGAGTTTCTGGGAACAAAACAATCACTGGACACAATGCAGATCAGCGCCTGCCACATTGCAAATACTCAGTGGTCAATGGCTATTTGGTGGGAGTAAATGCAAAAGCAGATGTTGGGTGACATTCCAGACCCTCAGCATCCGACAGGGTGGCAGAGCAGGGTCCTTGACTAAGCTGGCCACATGAAGCCACAGGTGGCTTGTGTGTCTCGAGAGAGAGACGAGGAGAGTAGGATGGTGTGAGGGTGGGATGGTGTGCGGTTCCCCGGGTGGCATGAACGAGACTGGCTGGGGTATTTTGAGGCTGATCTGCTCAGGGAGGACAGGCTGCTTTAAGACCCTTGCAAATAACCTAAATACGTAGCCTTGTGGTTACGTTTCCTTTCCCTTCACTGTGCGCAGGTTCTCTCCCCACTTTGGAGACTGGGCCGTGTTTTATAATTCCTCCAAGGTGCCCGAGGCTTGAAGGTTCCACTTCCTAGCATCTGCGCCAGCCAGCGAAGGGACTTAGGGTGTTTCTGTGGTTCTCTTGTGGGTCTGCTCTTCTCTGCTGTCTTATTGATGAGGAGCTGGCTATCCTCAGCCTACCCTTGAATTGGCCAGGTTGTTTTTTTCCAGTATAAGTTAATATGATAAAGGTATTTTTCTATTTTAAAAGTAAAATGTTGCTTCATGTAAATACCTGTACTTAACAAGTGGTTGGTATATGAATATATAGTAGTAATTTACTTATATAAAATAAACAAATATCAGGACCATAAATCGTAACAAATTGCTCAAATCTTCCCCCTAAAATGCTTTTTTCTGATTGGTTTCTATTCTGTTGCCTTTCCCAGGCATGTATACTTTTTTACCTAGTTGGAATTATGTTGTGCCTGTAAGTGTTTAAGATAAGGTCTCTCTGTTTTGTCCAGGCTGGCCCCAAACTCCTAAGCTCAAGTCATCTTCCTGCCTCGGCCTCGAGTAGCTGGAACTCCAGATCCACACCATGATGCTTGGCTCAATTTTTATATTTTGCTTTAATGAAATCCCTAAACACCATAATGTGAACTCTTAAATAAGAAAAATGATCAACAAACATGGGTTGATAACTCTAGGAGCTTTGCCAGCAGCCTTTGGGTGAAAAAAAGATCAGAGTTCTAAATAGAAAAATAGAAAGAGACATGAATAGCGTTTTCCACAAGGGAAATAAAAATGGTTAATTAGCCATGAAATATAATCAGTTTTGTTACTGAGAGCATTTCACATTAAAGCAAGGAGAGTGTGGTGGTGCACGCCTGTAATCCCAGCCCTCGGGAGGCTGAGGCAGGAGGATCGCTGTGAGTTTGAGGCCAGCCTGGGCTCCATAGTGAGTTCAAAGCCAGCTAGAACTACACAGAGAGCCTCTGTCTCAAAAAAAAAAAAAAAAAAATTAAAAAAATTAAAAATAAATTAAAGCAAGGATACCATTTTCCCTTATCATACTAGCAAAATTGGGTTTTTTTAATGATTCTATTACTTTTTTTATTAATTATATTTTTTTCCTTGTGAACTTCTGTATTTATTTTTGAGACAGCATCTCACTATGTAGTTCAGGCCTTGAATTCACTTAGAGGTTGTATAAATGTTCAATTCTGTTTATTTCTGATTTTTTTGTTGGGTTTCAAAAATGTTAAAATGGAGCCAGCTATGGTCGTGCATGCTTGTAATCCCAGCACTCCAGAGGCTGAGGCAGGAGGATTGCCTCGAGTTCAAGGCCAGTTTGGGGTGCATAGTGAGTTCAAGGCCAGCCTGAACTACAAATTGAGACCTTGTCTCAAAAGAAAAGAATTAAGTGTAATTTTATCTAGAATTTATTTTGATTCTTAGGTTGAGTTTCTCTCTTTTTTGTTTCCTCGAAACTTAACAATGGTTATTCTGACGTTTGTTGATGAATCCTTTCCTTTGCCAATTTATTTGTGAGGCCTCCTTTAGCATATATTAAATTATGACATAGAACTTCCGAACTCTCTGTTTTCCTTCTATGATCTGTTTTTCCTTTTGCCCTCTTTTAATTGTTATGGCCTTAAATATAGATTATAATCTCACTTTACTTTTTAATCTTGGCCTTGCTTGCTTATTCCCAATTGAACTTTAAAACCATTTAATCAAATTTAAGAAGAAGTCTTTTGAGGATTCAGGTTAGGAATTACACCAAACAATTTAAAAGTTAATTTCATTTAAAAAGCCAATATGAGTGTGGTAGTGGCCACCTGTAATAGCAGCTACTCAAGAGACTGAAGCAGGCAGATTATAAATTCAAGGCCACCTCGGGCAAATTTGGGATACCTGTCTCAAATATAAAAAATTTAAAAAATATTAAAAAATGACCTTTCCTATTTTTCTTTTCTTTTTTTTTGCTACGGGGGATGGACCTCTGGTCCTTGTGCTTGCGAAGCAGGCAGTGAAACCACTGAGATAAATCCCCGGCCCAACCTTTCCGACTTTTCTTCATGGTGGTCAGAAACATTTTCCAATAAAATTAGCTCTCTACGTGTTATATTGTTGCTGTGGTAGATGTTTGGTTGCTGGGATGTAGAAATATTGTTGCTTTTTTTGTTGTTTATTTCAGCTAGCCATTTTGCTGGCCTCTTTACTTCCTGTCCTTTGTTAGACTGTGTGCTTTGCTTTGCTGTGCGCTTTTGAGCTTGTGCAGTCATTTCATTTGCACATAGTTATCGTTTTGCCTATTTCCAGTGACTGTGTTTTCTATTCTATTGGCCAGAACATTAAAGACCATATTTAGGGATGCTGCTCGTCGGAAGCATCTTTATTTTGCTCTTTGCTTTAAAGAGACAGCTTTGCTGCTCCTTGATGCTCCCTGGATGTATGATGACTGAGATCTGTTTGCTCCTGCCCGAAAGGGCTGGTGTACTTCACTACAACCCCGACAAAAATGCTTCTCCATCCCTTTGTATTAGGCACAAAACGCTGGAGGTTCATGGTGTGAAAGTACCACTCTTTCTAGAATCCCCAGCTCACCCCAAACTCAGAGCTGCAGCACTGGTCCACTTCCAGTGGAGCCCTTGATCTCTGTCTTCTGAAGCTCAACTTCGGGCCATCTGTTCCTCCCCCCCAGACATGGCACTCTCTTCTGCCAGGCCTCCTCTCTGATGGAAGAGCTGTCACCAACACTGGACAGCAGCATGGCCGAGGCCCAGAGGAGGCTTTCACATTTGCTAACAGGTGCCCCATGGAGGAGCCCTGTGGACCTTTCCCCACCTGTCACCAATACCCCTGCCCTGCTCCCAAGCCTGCTGGACCTCTGGCACTTACCTGGGGGTCTTCCCAGGCCAGTGCTGAGAGGGGCTTAGAGAAGCCAGGTGAGGAGGTCTCAGTCACGCATTATGAGATGCAGAGGTGAGAGCAACAGCTGCTCAGGGCAGTCAGGGAAGGCATCCTGGAGGAGGTGACAGAGGTGACATTTGAACGGGGACTTGAAGCAAGCATAAAAATTCTATGGGACAACTAAGGGAGAAGGGCTCTAATTATGATCATTTCCATATACTTTGTAATTGTTGCTACAGTCAGTAAGACCTTTAAAAACTGTATTCCCTGTTTCCCTCAAAATAAGACCTAACTGGAAAATAATCACCCTTGAAAACTAAAGGTGAAAAATGCCATCACTGTTCTCTTGCTCAGTGACTACTCTGTAAGGCAGGAAAGGCAAAGATAGGCTGATTGGGGGCTGGCATTTTTGATCTCTCTCTCTCTCTCTCTCTCTCTCTCTCTCTCACACACACACACACACACACACACACACACACACACACACACGCCCCTCTACACATGTGTATGTCAGTTTGTGGAGATATAATTCACATACTACACGACTCCTTCATTAAAGGTTACCACTTAGTGGTTTTGATGTATAGTATTGTGCAACTTTCACCACAATCTAATCTTCTAATATTTTCATTATCTTCACAAAAAGCCGCCTGCCCCTTAGTCCTCATCTCCAAGACCCCTTCCCCTGTACCCCTGACTACTTCCTGTCTCTAAGGAAATGGAGGTATACAACATGGGGGCTTTGTGACTGGCTTGTATGTCTTGGCATCATGTGTTCAGTCTGTCTGTGATATAGTGTGTGCTGGTACTGCCATTCTTTCTAACGCTGAATAATATTTCTTTCTATGGATCTATCACATTTTCTTGGCGCATTTCTCAGCTCATAGTCATTTGGATTGTTCTCACGTTCAAGCTGTTGTGAGTATGTGCTGTGGGTATCTGTGTGCTATGTGTTTTTGTGTGCACACATGTCTTCATTTCTCTGGAGTGTATGTGTATGAGTGGCATCCCCAGGTCACACAGAAACTGTGTTAAGCACCGAGGAACTTCCGGGCTGGTCTGCACAGTGTTTCCCTGCTGAAGTGCGAGGGTTGTCTTCAGTGTGATAGTGCTGGGAAGAAAGACAAACCATTCCGGCGCCTGCCTCGCAAGCTCAAGGACCTGAGTTTGATCCCTGGTACCAAAAAAAAAAAAGAAAGACAAACCAGAGTCTGAATGCCCAGTGTGTTTTCAGAGTAGGCAGTTGTGAAGGAATCTAAAGGTGTCTCCCTCATTGTCGAGCCTTTGATGATTCCAGAGGGAATGGTTTCTGCAGGCTCTGAGGGACACTTCTGTGAATGCTGCTTCTGCCATCTGTGTTCTGGCTGGGAGGCAGTGGAATAGGGAAGGTGGTGGACTAAATGCTGGCAAGGGGCTCTTGGAAGAGGTTGGGCAGGGTCTGAAGCCCGGTAGAGGGGAGAAAGGCGGGAGGGCAAGAGCCTGGGAGAGAAGGTGATGCTAGGGTCCATGACTGTGTGTGTGGGTGGGGTTCCTGGACAGCTGTGGCGAGTAACACTGGTCTGTCTTTGTCCTTTGGCTACAGACCTGGCTGAGTGTAAGCTGGTTTCCTTCCCCATCGGCATCTACAAGGTCCTGCGGAATGTCTCAGACCAGATCCACCTCATCACACTGGCCAACAACGAGCTCAAGTCCCTCACCAGCAAGTTCATGACCACATTCAGTCAGCTCCGAGGTAGGCCCTGCTCATCTCAGGCCAAGAGGGTGTGGCTCTGACCCTGTGTGGGGAATGTCACCAGCTCTGGTCCCTTTGTTGGTCACTTGGACTCATGAAGCCATTCCCAGGGGTAGGCTTTGAAGATGATTCTGTGTCCTCCACGCAACCTGGAAATCTCTGGGTCAGCTTCTGCCTCCAGCTGGCTATGACCCTGACTGACCAAGAGTCAAGACTGTGTCTGGGTCCTGGATTGCTTCTCTTGTCTGAACAGGTCAGCAGGGTGTTTGGGTCCTGAGGCCCATGAAGAATTAGTTAACTCTTGGAAGCCTTAAACAAGCTCCTTCTCAGCTTCAGTCTAGCGTTCTGTGCTGCTTTCTCAGCTTAGGAGTGAGCCATGCCAGGGACACTGGCACTTTCTCTCTGGACACACACAGAACAGGTGGATGTGGGTGCCTGGCACAGACATAAGCAAGAGGTCAGCAGGTAGACATTGTGGAGTCTGTTGAAATGGTTCTTCTAAATGGACAAGTAGTGGTTGCTCCCTTCTCTACATAGCAGGGCCACCATCCTTCTGCCTCCCCTGGAGGGAGCTGCAGCCTGGGCACTTGTGTGTGTTTGGAAACTGATAGGACAGAAGAAATGCAGAGGGCACAGGAAGTAACAAATATTTCCTGCCTTTTGGCATTTCCTATCCAATAGGAGCAGGAAGAGGATCTTAGACCCTGTGTAGAGAAACAAATCACAAAATGGCGATGGTGCATGAGCCACCTGAGCAAGCCTGTCACAGACAGCTGATTTTAGGCTGGGCATGTGTCTTAGCTACTTTCTTCATGATTGGGACAGAATACCTGGCGCCCATAACTTAAGGAAGGAGAGGTTTATTTTGGCTCACAGTTTGTAGAGGTTTCAGCCCATAGTGGGTTGACTCCAAGGCAGGGCAGCATGGCAGAGAGGCATGGCAGAGGAGAAAGAGCTCATGGTGTGGCAGTCAGGAAGCAGGGAGTAATCAAGGGAGGAGGAGGGAGATAGACCTTTCCAGGCCACACCTCCAGTGACCCACCTCCTCCCACCAGGCTCTACCTCCCAACATCACAGGTAGCTATAAACTCATTAGTGGGCTAATCCACTCATGAATATCCTGCACCTATGATCCAGTCACCTCCCCAAAGCCCCACTTATGAGCACTTGAGGCTTTGGGGGGACATTGAGATATAACCTGCATCCTTAAAGAGATGTGTATATGGGGCAGAACCTAGATAGGAGAGGGAGGCATGAGTTGGCAAGGAAGGAGGAAGCCCAGGTATGGCCTGGAAAGGCCACCACCCAGGTGACACACAAAAGGGCAAGGAGGGTCAGGTCTGGGTGGTCGTTTCTGAGTGATACTCATAGAGCTCTTCATCTTTGTACCTGAAAAGCTGAAGTCCTATCATTGGGGAGGGGTGGGGGTGAAGTTTGATTCCCCAGAGGCACCTATGGGTGCTCTACCCTGGCCTCCTTCTCCCTTCTTTCCTTTCCTGGCAGCTGCTTCTTTACACAGGTAAGGGGGGTCCCCATAGCAGCAAGCTCCTTGGACCAGTAGCTCACAGCCCTGCTAACACTGGCATCATCTGAGGAGCTTTTCTACAAATGCTGTTGTCTTGGCTCTACACTGAGACCAGATGAAGCAGAACATCTGTGTGTGTGGCCTGGGCTCAGACATTTGTGAATACCTGCACTGGTCATTCTAGAGTGCTGGGAGCCAAGGTTGGGAACTAGAGGTGAGAGGCCATAAACACAGATGCCTAGGAGACTAGCATGTAAGTAATGAGTGACAGATTGGGTCTATAGCAATAGGGGGCCTTGAGGACTGTGGCAAACTAGTGCATGCCCTGCTGAGCTGATCTCCTCAGGTGTACCACAAGAGAAAATGAACCACTCTTCTGATTACTTAATAGAAGCTGGAAATAAGTAAGTTTTACATAATATGAAAGTCAACAAAGCACATTTGCAACATAGATTTACCCCATGGGGCACCAATTGAGAGAATGTCCTGTAAAATATCAGCATTGCTCCTACCCTCACATTCCATAGATGGAGAGGGATGGTCAGGGAGGGAAGGACTTGTCAGGGTCTCAGAGCAGCACATCTGGGGCCTGGACCCAGGTTTGTACCCTGAAGGCCAGGACAGGGCAGTTTGTCTAGGCCACTTGTGTCAGCTTAAGAGTCCTTGAGTGCTGTATGGAGCACACTGGGATTGAATGTTTGCTTTCCAGAGAGGAATAAGATTGAAAATGGATGATGGGGCTTCTCAGAGGTCCCTGGGAAGGGGAGTCAGGCAGGGACTTCCTTTGGGTCTTGACTTTCTCCCTTTAGACCATCCATTGAGCATTTGCATTTTCCAGACCTGTGTCTAGAGGCAGGCAACAGGCCAATAAGAGCTGAGTGTGGTGGTACATGCCCACGATCCCAGCACTCCTGAGAGACTGAGGCAGGAGGATCACAAGCTCGAGCCCAGCCTAGGCAATTTAGCAACTGAGTGAGACTCTCTCTCAAAATAAAGAGCACAAAAAGGGCTGGGGATGTATGGAGTTCAATTCCCCATAGAAGAAAAGGGGAGAGGGTGGCCAGTAAACTGGGCTCTGCCCCTGAAGGAGCTCAGGTTTGCAGAAGAGACACATCCTTAGTATTGAGGGCTGAGATATTGGTGCGGACAGAGTGCTACTCAGCAGAGGAATTAGTACTTCCCAATCAAGAGTGTATGGCTGGGAGTGCGTATGGAGGCAAGAGCTTTCAGAGGACTTGATAACAGGCAGTACCTTGTGGAATGAGCGAGTGGGCTTTCGCCAGAGACCTGGTGAAAGAGCAGAGAAATGCCTTGGAGAGCTGGGCTGCAGAGATATATTTATCATGATGCCTCCCACTCAGAAGTCTGTTGGTGCTGTTTGAACTCCTTCCTGGTGCTCCCTTGCCCTTGGGGTTCTAAAGGGAAGGCCAGCATACTTGCTAGTTGGATTTCACACAGTGGATTGAAGGCTGGGGTGGCCTGGGCAGGAGGTGCTGGAACAGCACTCCATCTGACTCTTAGAGAGGTGGCTCTAGATCCAAGTCTTTGTTGTGATTTCTCTTTCAACAGAAAATTTCTTCTTTTATGTGTGAAGAGGAGGTTCTGTGAGGTCTACTATGTCCTCTTCTGTGTTATTTGCCTGTTTGTTTGCAATACTGGGGATTGAAACTAGGGCCTGGTACATGCTAGGCAAGTCCTCACTGCTGAGGTATAGCCTTAACCAATCTCCCTTCCCTCTCCTCTCCTCTTCTTCTCTCCCTTTCCTTCCTTCCTTCCTTCCTTTCTTCCTTCCTTCTTTCCTTCTTTCTTTCTTTCCTTTCTTTTTCTTTCTTTCCTTTCTTTCTGGTTTATATCTAATTGTCTTCCCAAAGCCTCATGTGCTCATAGATGGGGCTTTTGGGAAGTGATTGATCATGGGAGACTATACTTATTAGTGAATTTGTCCACTGATACCAGTGCAGTTTATCTTGTGCCTCTAAGGAATTAGTTCTTTTGGATTCAGTTCACAGTATTCACCCATCCTGGCACTCAGAGGCCTCTGCAGCCATAATCCAAGGGGGACCTGGCTACTGTTTGAGCAGACCTTGGCATCATCCACATGGTGCTGGTTTTAGGCACATGCAGAATGGAAAAGTTGTGGCGTCAGGGAGGCTTCTACCCATATTTCAGCAGAAGGTATGGGAGGCAAGGCAGTGTGGCCCTGAGTGTGTGAAGCTGTGAGAGTGAAGCTGAAAGTGCAGTGGAGACTCCAGGAGGTTGGAGAAGCCAAGAACGTAGAATGTCTGAGGAACGCTTCAAGGAGTGGTCAAAGCCAGCCCAAGAGAGAAGCTGTGGGAGCCCAACCACTTGCAGTGCCATAGGGAGGATGGGGTTGCCCAAGGCCTTTGGAGTTCATATTTCACCACAGCTTTCCCTGGATGCTGGACATGGAACTATGGGATTTAACATTTGGCCTGTTGGGTTTAGGTCTTGCTTTGGTCCCATTTCTTTGTATTTCCTGCTTCCATTTTGGAATGGAAGTGTTTATCTTGTGCCATTGTATGTTGACAGTGTGTAACTTTCTTTTTTATTTTTATAGGGGCTCACAGCTAAGAGTTTGCCTTAAGTTTCAGAGGAGACTTTGGACTTGGACTTTTCAGCACTGCTGGAACTGTTAGGACTTTGGCAACTCTTAGAGACGGATAAATGCCTTGTGCATAAAGAGATGAGCGTGAGTCTTTCAAGGGCCAGGGGCAGTATGTTATGGTTTATATCTAGATGTCCCCCCAAGGCCTCATGCATTCAGAGGTAGGGCTTTGAGAGGTGATTGGATCTTGGGGGCCTGGTACTCATCAGTGGATTAGTCCACTGATAAGTTTATAGCTAAATGTGCTTTTAGAAGTTGGCTAATGGTAGCTCTAGAGAGTAGCTAAATGTGCTTTTGTCAGAAGAGGTGGGTCACTGAGGCGGTGGCCTGGAAGGGTGTATGTCTCTCCCTGGCTCCTCTCTTCACTCTCTGCTTCCTGGATGGCATGCTGTGAGCAGCTATTCCTCTATCGTGCCCCTGGGCCATGCTGTCCTGCCTTTTAGCCAATTGACTAGAGACTGAAATGTGATCCAAACTAAACCTCTTCTCCTTTAAGTTTCAGGTGTTGGGTATTTTGTCCCAGTGATGATGAAAGTGACTAGGACACTTTGAGACAGGATCTTGCTAAGTTGCTCAGGCTGGCCTCAAATTTGGACCTCTCCTCGCTTAGCCTCTTGAACAGTTAGAATAACAGGCTTCTATCACCATCCCTGGCTTTTTCTGGGTCCTTGATGGAAGTGGGTTACCTTGATGTCATGCTTGTGCCAGGAGAGAGAATAATCTCCTTGTCCCCTGCCTGTTTTGATGTCTCTTGGGAGTTCCGTGGGGACTTACTTCTGTGAGGGTCACAGTCCCCAGGGTTGGGTCATCTTTAGGTGGTTCCATTTCCTTGGTGCCCTTTCTCCATTG